CCGCTAAACCGCGCTGAAACAGGGCACGCCGGAGATAATCGGGGTTATACCCGCGGTCCGAAGGAGCTCGTTTAAAATGCGGAGCGGCGGGGCCGTGGTGTGCTACCGATGGAAAATGTGGCGGAGGAACTGGCTCCGTGATTTGGAGGGACCTCGCAGCTTTGGAGGGACCTCGCAGCTTTGGAGGGATCTCACAGCCTTCTGGAATTACCCTGGAAATTCTTTGCTCAGAGAGTTATTCCCACATTGCTGGGATTTTTTTTTTTTCCCCTCTGTGTTGAAGCTTTAGCTCCTCGGTTAGGCGTGTCTGTAGGGAGAACTGGCCAATATCGCGTAGGGAATTTCATTCCGGGGGAGATCACAGCAAACCGGATTCAGCCTGAAATGATGAGGCTGAGGGGTCGATGGAAGAGGGAAAGGATATTCCCAAACATACATAAACGGCTAGGAAAGGTGTGGAGGAGGGGGGAGGGCGACGAGGAAGTCCGAGAAAGAGCACACCTCGCCCCCATCCACGCAGACCTGCCTTTACGACCCCAAGGCAGGAGGCTACACCGGCCCCACGCGTGAATTATTTGCCAGAGACACAGCTGGGTCGTTGGCGGTCGAAGGCTATTTCTTGGGAACAAATATACCAGGGGTTAGATTTCAGGTTAGCCAAAGTGGTTACTGGAGATTTTGGCTAAGGTACCTGCTGCAGCCGGGGAAGTATCTAATGCAAGCGTTTGCTGGGCGTGTGGAGGTTGTTCACAAGTTGCTCACTTGTAGCGAGCCCTGGCACCGCACGTTTGGGGAGCCTGCCCTCGCTGGAGATAGTATATAACCTTTCACATCCAGAGTATTTATTTGGTGTAGGAGCGAAGCCTGATAACGAGCTAAAAACCATAGCCAAATATCTATTTTTTTAGAGAATAGCAGGCGGATTGTTTCCAAGAATAACAATGCGGCTTTGATATACCCAGAACGAAAGCTGTTACTATAACTGGCTTACTCAAGAGTAGGTGACCAAAACCCATTTGCTTCCTCACCAAAACAACTAGTGGCTCGAATTTCATATTTTTCAATCTGGTTTAGAATAAAAATGTCAATGAGCATACTTTCGAAGAAGTTGAAACCGCGACTTCAATAAATATTGACTCTTCGGAACTGTTGTTTAAATAATTCCTTAAAATAATTAAAAAAAAAAAAGGCAACAACACGGAACAGAACAGTTAATAATTTGAGAGGAACTCTTTCTGTCCTTTCACTCTCTGCATTCAGCACACTGCTCTCTGGCGTGGAAGGTCTGCTCAAAAGACCATTCATTTAAAATCCAGGCACAAATCACATTTTACGTGTGTTTATTTAACCGCGCCAGGACAGAGCGAGCAAATCCCGCCAACCATCCCCTTGGTAAGAAGAGCCCCGTTGCCGGAGAAGTCACCGCTTTTACCACATGCTGAACTTGGGGCAAAACTGCGAGCATTGCCCCAACAGCGAGCAGAGGAGGGGAGCGCTCCCGGCCGCCGAGGCAGGAGCAGCCTCGGGGGCTGCATCATTCCCGGGAACAAAGGAGGGAATACAGTCGGTACATTCCATAACGTTTACATTTTCCCGCGATTTTTTCTTAATTTTCCCTTAGAAGTAGTGACCTGGGCAAAGCACCCCGCTATCTAAAAGACACTGTTATAGACCTTTTAGAAAAACTAAGTCCAAGGCCGAGGTGAACTTCAGGTCACCGCGTCTAACAAATATGAAAATGTCGCCTGGTGAAGGGCACGCCTTGTTATTTAACAAAGACTGTCAATGTGTAAGATTAATAAGAAACAAAATGCACACGGTGTCACTTTTCGGTCACTTTGAAACTTGGGACAGCCTCGCATTCAAGAGGGGAAAGCTGGGGCTAAATATATTCAAAATGGTTCAAATCAAATTCAAACCAGGCTGCTAGTGCGATTCTTCCTCCTCCTACCGCTCTCGGTAGAGGATGCCCGGGCGCGGCGAAAGGTTGATTTGCATTATTATTATTATTATTATCATCACCATCATCATCATCATCATTATTATTGTTACATTACTATTCTTGCTGTTATTGTTATTTTTGCTTTCGGGGTAATGACGTTTTAGCCGCGCTTGTGGAGGGTAGCAGGAGTGCTTGCCTGTTTCACAAGAAAAAGGGGGATCCCCCTTTTCCCCCCTCTTTGGGTATGTATGAGGTTGGCTCTTCTGGGTGCATGGAAATTAACTCTCTCCCTCTCAACTTAATTCCAGTGGGGTCCCCATCTTCTCCTCGGCCAGCCTCGGCCGGGAAATTCTTGCTCCTTTATTAACTGATTAAAGTCTCTTTCGCCAGCGAAGTCGAGCCCTCAGTCATTCTGGAAAAATAAGGGAGCTGGCCTATTTTTCCTCTCCTTTTCTTTCTTTGAGAGCTTAGGATGATGCTACAAGTTTGTTAAAGGGAAGTACCGGGGAAAAAAAGGGTTTCTGAGATTGTTTATTACAGCCATAAATCTTGCAGTAAAATGTCGAAATGGCCGTGTGCAAGATAACACTTGGTGGTCTTGGCTGGGTTCTTGTTTATGATAACAAAACCACAAAGACATGGAACAGGCCTTTTGGAGGTCCTGCCTCAGCACATCTTCGCAGACGAATAGAACCGCACGAAAAACCCCCAAGATTGCAGCTGAGCAGCTCAGGTCACCTTGCAGATTTCCAGTCGTGTACAAAATTTGCACCCTTCTCCCTGCAGCCGAGCGCCAGAGCCCCACGGTAGAAAAGCGGGGCAGAGAAACAAGTATAACTTTGAGATTTAATCGCGGTAAATAATCGGCAGCGGAGCCCGGGCAGCTCCGCCGGTAGAGCGCTGAGCCTACAGCCCGGGACACCGCTTTTCCTTGGGTTTTACCGCGGCGCGGGGGCACGGCCGCCGGCTGCAGCGCTCTGGCCATAGCGTCTCGGGGCTTATGGCGAGGACAATATTTACGATAAGCCAGTGTAGTTCCTCTGCTGCTGGCCGGCAGGTATTTGTCCGTCTGTCTCTCTCTCTGTGCGTAGATCTCTTTACGCCGGGAAAAAAACCGCTCGTGGTGGACTTCGGCAATCTTATTTTTTACAGTCACGTAGGTGTCAGCTTTATTTCTTTACAACACGGGTTGCTGTTGTTTTCTGGGGATTTCTTTTTTTTTTTTTCTTTTTTGCTTGTGGGTTGCTGTTGGGTTTTTTTTAATATAAATAAAACAATCTCCCCTTTCCTGTCAAATGTGCCTTGTTGAACAGTTGCTGCTGTCTCTGTGTGCGTGTGTGTAACCGCATTTCCTCTCCACGCAGAGTAAATAGAGAAACTTATCTATTACCACAGTTAAAGAGTTCCATAGATGTGCTGTTGGAAACGAGTAAGTAAATGTGTTTTAACTCTCTTTACAAATTAGACATTCGATAGGAGGAGGAAATGAGTGATTGTTTAGATAAGTACCCCAGTATACCCAAGTGCTGGAAATGTTCTAACATATTACAAGCCGCCTGCAATGTGCGAGCGTGTGTGTGTACAAAATATAAATCGATACGCTGCGTGTCTTGTTAGATAGAATATATATTCAAATAGAATTTTATTGCATGTATCCATTATCTATAAAACTGCAAAAGACAATAATCTGAATTTAAACCAGGGTAACTGTTAATGTAATATCTTTAGGAGGGCAAGATCTAAAACGTATCATATTTACGCTTGATATATTAGATGTATTTTCCCATACCAGCAGATGAGATTACCCACTCAGCAATTATATTCTCGAAGGGTGCGGTAAATGTTTCTACGTGTTTATATGCTTTCCTGAAAAGGAGAAAAAAAACATCCGAAAAGTTCGCTCCTAACTCCGAATGTACCAGACTAGCTGACGTTCAGTAAGTATTTTTTTCCCCTTAGAATAAGAGCGTAATTAGTTTAACCATCAAATTTCAATTACCTAAGGTCAGGGCGGTTGCCTCTTTTCCCTCTGCGCTGCAAATATCGTTAACAGTCTCAGTTTTAGCAAAACAGAAGTGCCCGAGTGCCCTCTTTCCTCTGCGAAGGCGCTAGCGATTTCTCGTGGAAATGGAAATTAAGAAATAGACCCAAGACGAGGCGTACCAAACCGACGGGCTTAACTTCGTCGTTTGGAAACCGCTCCTCCGCGGGGAGGGATGCTCGCAGTGAGCCCTGCGACC